TCTGTGAACTGGGACAAACTCTTGGAAGCCATTCCTTGGATACACTAGATATCGCCTAAGATGACTTTCTACCAAAACAGGTAGAACAGTTATCAATTTGTGGAAGATACTGTTTTCTGCCCAGCGTGCCTCATTTCGTCAGGGTAACTGATGAGAAAACACTCTTCAGTTCTTGTTTCATGAAGATGCTGGCAGTGCCAAGCAGCCAACAGTGTGCAGGTTTGAGGGTGGCCGGTTTTATTTCAGTACTGGAGAGAGGACATTTCCTCTAATGAGCTTTCTTTGGCTGTTCAATATTTATTACAGGTACTTAAACTGAGCTTTTATTACTTAATGTCCCATTTCCTTCCAAAAGGATGCCACCAGTGCTCGTATAACGCTGCCCAAATGTCTCATAAAACTGATGGCAGCTCTAAACTTTTCCAAGTTAGAGGATCACAGGGAACAGGAAGGGGCTTGATCAGGATCATTAAGACAGAGAAGCTTATCAGGGAACGGAGGTAAGTGGCATCAGCCAGAAAGCTGGTAAATCAAAATGTGAGGCATGGAGCATGAATGGAAATGGCATATACATTCATTTTAATTAAAATAACATAGCAATTAACTGTATTCATTTCCATGTTCAATGAACAGAATTGCCTGCCACCAGTACCAGAGGCTGGAGAAGCAGTTTTCGTCTCCACCAGCAATTATGGAGAACTCACCCTCCTTTGAGGAAACAACAGGCTGGTGGCTCCCATCCCAACAGGCTACTGTTCCTGTACACATATCAGCTGGGTTTCCCCTTCTAATCCCTTTCAGAAAAACAGGGCAATCGCCATCACCTGGATGTTTATTTCCAAAGAAGTCATGGTCCGAGCTCCAAGCTCACTCACTCTCAGTGAAAGATTTTCATTTCACTTTCCCTCCATCCACACACATTTATATCTACTCACCCAACACCACCACAAATTCACTTGCATACAGATATCAGTAATGGTACTCAGCTCTCCTCTGTGTATTAAAGCCTCTTTCTTGAGTGGGATTAATCTTGGCAGCTGTCTGACAGGAGAGACTGTGTGGGACGAAAATGGTTTTACCTAACACTTGAAAGAAAGCAAAATAATCTCTGAGAGAATAAACTGAGTTTCAGCTCCTGCTCCTTCAATAGAAGGCTATTTGCCAAAGGAAAATACCCCACATCAGGAAAAATACACCAGTACAGCTTTAAAAAGTAACATAAGGACTGTACACTTTTTTTGTGTGTCCACATTTCAAAACATCTCTTAATAATATAACTAAGTCTCTCTGCAGGAGACCAGAATCTAAAGCAGTTTTAAAAATTACTTTGCATGAGGGAAATCCCATTGTTTTCCTTTAGCTATGGGGGAGCCAGAAGGGCTCTGCTTCCCATTCTCGCTCTGCTGTATTTTAGAAGGCAGGAACCCTAACAAAAAATACAGCAGAAAATATCTCCATCTTCCTGATTTATTTTTCCAAAGCAGTAACATTGGAGACACACAACTAAAGACAGGCATTTGCTCTGGTAGAAGCGAGGCTCCCAGGAAAGTTGCACTTGGAAAATGTAATTTAGCCCTAACCTTGTGTGAGGAGAGACTTCCTGCTTGCAGCTCCAAGACAAAGAACAGCAGATACTGTGAGCAAAGTACCACAAAAAACAAACCTAAGGCTTCGATTTGGAAAATTTCAGCTGAAGCAATTAATAGATAAAAGCAGATGAAAACATTATCTCTTATGGAGAGCACTATATTACCCATTGAGAAGGTGTAACTTTTTCCATCACTTACATCTCTCACATTAATACATGCTGCAAGACATCAGATTATTTTAAAAGTCAAAAAAGTAGAAAACCACTATATATACTTTATAATTTCAAATTATAAAGTAATTTCTAATTTCAACTAAATTCAAATACACTATTTGAAATTCAAGACATGCAAAAGTTAAGTTCTGTAACAGCTTTTCAGAGAAGCTAAGCACTAAATCTCTTACATAAACATTTTTTTTTCAAATGATTGTAGTATCTTCCACCTGCAACTTACATCTGCACAGTCAGTGTGGTTTGCACTTCCAGTAATTTCTTGTCCCAGATGTTAAAGATAAACTTGCCTTTTTTTGTTCCTAGGAAACACAGGAACCTTCCTACAAACCGTCCTACTAGCAGACTGGGAAAGTGACTCCCTCTCTGGGACTCCATTGGCATTAGCCCAGACCGAATGAACATATTCTTTTAATTGATTGAACCTACCCTGCAAATGAGGTCATGGACCTAGCCCAAAAATGGGGGTTAAAATAACACTACATTGCAAACTCCGGACTCCAGCTAGAACTTTTAAGAGATATATACAAGAGGGGAAGGGAAAAAAAAAGCTTCCTGCTATGTCTTATCTCGTTAAAACTTCTAGCTTTATCAGTTAGAAGATTTAAAAGGATTTTCTGGCCCAAAATCTATTTTGCCCCAAAGGAACATGTAGAACATCAAAACTGAAGTGCAACTAGAAATTACGGAAATTTGCCACTGTGGGAAGAGTACCTTCCGAGCAAGCCTCTCCTGAAAGTTTTTCTCCACCTCCAACAACTGAAATAACTACACTGCTCTGTTTGAAGCAGTTCAAACTGTCCCTGTGGTATTTCCAGCTTGGCAACGAGGATCCCTGCGAGCTCTGGGCTGACAGCAAAAGCTGCAGCACTTCATGCGCCTGCACTTTGCTCCAGTTCAGTAGCACAATACTTTATATGTGTCTGCTCTCACCTGCTGCCAGGATTGCTTCAAGCTTCAGCAACATTAACTGATGTCAAATTAATCATATTTGAGGCTGTTCCCTGGAATGAAGATGCTCTTGCTGGATCTCTAGAAAGGCACCTTAATAACACCCCATTCCCACTCCCTTCCCACACAGATGACTTTCAGTACACAAGTGCTGCATGTATTTAGCACATCTCAGAAATCATTTTGATAAAAACATACAGTAAATTCTGCATAGTGAAGCCTTTCCCAACATTTTAGAAGGCATGCAGAGCATGAGGATGAGGCAGTAACCTGTTTGCCTGGTGCTCTGCCATCTATCTCCCAGGACTCCTGAAAAACCAACACGGTTCCTCAAGGGACTTAGCTGATTAAAGAACATTAATTAATTGAGTGAACATCTGCGCTGTTTTGCAACTAATATTTAAAATCAGCTAGGAATTGTAATTTCTATAAGAGAAAAATATACAGAACAACTGCAGCCTGCTTTCTCACAAAACTGGAATAGAGGTCAGCAACTACAGCATTTACCATGGTGGTTTCTCAGAGATTTCCGAGGCCCTGAGCTGGCAGCAGTCAGTTTGCTTCCTGCTAAGCCTAGCGACAGTAACATTTTATTCTTGGCTTCACATGTGAACATATTAACCATGACAGTGCTGACATTTGTTGCTACATAAAAAGGAGAGTAAATAGTTTAGAAAGACGCCATTAAATTTAGAAATTATTGGTGCGGTTTGAAATTAAGTGCTGTCAACACAATTTATGCTTCTGCTTATATAAAAGAATGACTGGAATTTTAATAGCTTCTCTGAAGTGTGCATTAAAAAAAAGAAAGAAAAAATGAGAAATAAAAAGTGATGCTTTTAATTGTTTCCAAAATATATTACAAGAAGCATCTGACCTATTTAGTATCATAAAAGCTGAAAGACTGTCTGGTAGGACAGAATAGCTAGGAGGGTGTGATGAGAAAAATGTCGTGTCACACATGTAACTGGAATACTGCTTCCATCTCAGGGGCCAAAAGGTCTTCAGAGTCAGGATACAGACAGGGTCATCCTCTTCCTCACACAGGGATATTCTTTGTTCTTTCAACAGGAGACTTTATTAATTGAGACCAAGGCAGCCAGGGAGCCAAGGCAGCAGCATGTGCCTCCAGGAAGAAGGGGAGATCACCAGCAAAAATAACATTTTGTTGCACATGAAAGAAGCTGAGTAAGAGCCCAGAGACCACAAATTAAGATGACTACAAAAGAGAAGGCAGATTCACTGAAGCTGCCCGTAACAGCGTTTTGTCACAGCAGGCACTAAGTCTAGAGCCAGGCAGTTCGAGAGCCAGTCTGGGATCAGCACTGGATTGCCAAGTTATGGGACTGCCCTGAGAATCTGTGGGTTCTGAAATGCTTGCAAATTTTTCAGAGCTTTACAGAAATATTTGTTTCCAGTTTCTACTCAAGCTGGGCTGAATAGATCTCCTCATAGCTCCTTGCTCTGAGTGTTACCGTTTTTAAAAAAGGGGGCCAGGAGGAGGCAGCTTTGAGCACTGAAAAACAGGCTGAATGACTGCCCTGAGACACCTGCAACAGCCTCAGGACATTCGACCTCACTCAGCCCTCACCATCTCACCATCAGGCTATGGGGCTGGCAATAATAGACATATAAAAAAAAAACATACAGGCATTGGATTTTTTTTTCCTTCAGTAGTGTTTTGGAGTATTCTTAAGAAATCATTGGCCCTAGCTGTGATTCCTTTTCCTCACCAATACAGACAGTTCAAAGCCTGCTGAAGGATTAACAAATAATCTATGTGCTCTCATGATACCATTCCCTAAGCTTATCTACTTGCTTTGAAGAGTAAATAATTTTTTTGGGGGAAATCTGGCTCCACTCCAGCCCAGTGCTACTCTGCTGTAACAACTTTGAAGAAAAGAAAGAAGATTTTGCCAAATCCAGCTCACAGCCTTCTGTAGAAAGGGCTTTTCCCTGCTGTCCCCGTGGCTTACGCTTCTGTAAAGTAAACACGCTGTTTGCAGACTGAATTTCTGAAGGCAAAACTAAAGTTTGACAGACTTAGCAGGCAACTGGTCCTGCTGCATCAGCAGGGAGTGCTTCAAGCCTGGGCCGCAGAACCTGCCCCTGTGGTGTATGTGTGTGTACAGCAAACTTAAACATCAAAGAATGATTGCACCAAAACAATCTGTGTTTTTATCCCTATAAAACAGAACACAACAGATGCAAATAATGGTGAAACACTTACCCTGGAATCCTTTTCCAGGCGAAGCCTGTGTTGAAGGCTGCGTCGTCTTCTCGCCTTGGCAATGCCATTGTGGTAAAAGAAGTACCCAGTATCTAGAAAATGCAGCTGTGGAAGACAGAAAATAAACCATGTAGCTAGTGGTTCATAAGAAAGACAACCTGGCAAACTTCTACCTGGGAAGCATCAGGAAGCCATGGCAACACTTGAAGACTTACCCCAAATTGCAGCAAACACTCTTGAGAATGTTACTTTTGAACAATGTGCCTAGTACCATTCAGATTATTTGCTACATGTTTAGAGGTATTACCTGTGCTAGAGGTGTTATTTCACTTGTAAACACTTGGTTGTATTTCTACCTTATGTTTAAGGTCAACAATACAAATATTTCTGTAGGGCTTCCCACATTGGCATAGGATTATTTTCTACTTCCTGAGAAAGCCAGGAAAAAGGAAAAAAAAAGAATAAAATGAACTGCATTTAAAGAATAAAATGAACTGGATTTAAAACCACCACAACCACCTTCAGCAATAAGGCATTGCTCAAATGCTTTTCTGAGCCTTCGTGCTCTTCAAGAAGAGCACGTTGCCTCCTGCAGTCAGCTCAAAAGTGCCATTTGTGTCACTAAGTCTGCAACGTTCTCCTCATTCCGTCTTAACAGGGAGATTCCAGTTGACTGTTTAACTCTGACCCACTGTATTTTTTAAGCCAAGCCTTAAATAGATTGTAGAACCTGAAAGAAATAGGCGCTTCTCAAGGAGTTCTGTGTTAATGCTCTGATGTTTCAATTGCAAAGTTTAGACTAGCCTGTACATAAAATGATTACAGGAAATAGTTCAAAACAGCCACGAGGGCATTACCCCTTTTACATCTATCATTACATCTGCTAGTGTGCTGCAAACATATTACGGCATATGGAATTGGGTGGCAATAGAAATGTCACTTGCACACAGTGAAATTTTGAATGTTTAAATTTCAGTGACATGCCAAAAATGAATAACTGTTTTTTTCAAAGTTTTTTTTTTGTATTTTAATTGAATATTTCAATAAAATCAAAACACTGAAGTTCTAGCTCTTAAAACTTCATTCACTATGATATAAAAATGCATTAGCACAAAGTAACTTAAAATAACTAACTAATCTAAACATTTTGTTCCAATAGAAGACTTTGTATTAAGTATATAAAAAAGGTTAAGGAGATTTAATCAAAACCATTGTGGTCCCTTAAAGCTGATTAGTGGTGTTGTCTGGAGAGCTCTTCTGGGCAAGTTATCAGAGAATTTTGCATCAGCTCTATAATGTGTAAAAAACAAAACAAAACAAAAAAATATAACAGCTGAACCAGAAGAAATGAGACTACAAAAAGCTAATGGCAGAAGCAACATAAGTCTTCTATACTACATATCTACTGACAGAGCCATTGCTCTTAAGGTCAAAATTCTGTTTTTTTTTTTTTTTTTAAACAGATGCTTCATCATTAAAAAAAAAGTCTAAACATGACACCTTTACATGAAGGTTAACAAGGATGCTCCAAATCCAAATTTTATCACTAGATTCATCTTTAGATAGCCTCTTAATCCTCATGCAGGATATATCACTTTAAGTCTCAAAAATATGCAGGAAAAAAACTAAGCAACTTCCCTTACATATGACACAGCAGTTTTGAAGATATCTGGAAATATCTATTGCGTGCTTATTATTTTTGCCTGTGGATCAGGTTTGTTGTGTAAGAAAAGAGTGAAGCCTTCTGCCCTCCAGGGAAAATTAGCAATTATGCAAGATAACAAATTATTGGAAGGCACTTGAGGAGAACTGTTTAGATTTAGAAAAGAGTCTACTCTTGCCTTGAAGTACAAATAAGGTGCAGTGCAATGTATCTGTGAAGGACTGTCTAGGAGCCCAGGAACAACCAGCACTTCATTATTTGCTATATTTGTCTAAAATTACAGGTGAAAAAAATTATGCAAGTAAAATCAAAATCACAAACAAAACACAGTAAGGGGAGCAAAATCCTTATTTGAGCAAAATGCAGAATTTGCCAGCTTTGCAACATCCTTGTGATTTTTAACAATACTATCTATACTCTACTAACTATACTATATGAAATCCTGCTTAACCTCCTTCCTAGAAAGGTTGAAAACCCAGCAATAATTTTCAGAAATTTGATGTTCAACTACATAAAATAAATGGGGCTTATCTAGCAGAGGTATGGCTGGCACGTACAGTCCATCAAGGAAGGGAGCAAGAATGTTTCACATTTCACACTGTTTTAGCATGTCTGTCACCTCGAGATATCTGGGTTTTTTGGGGGTTTTTTTTGTTTGTTTCTTTGTTTGTTTTTTTCTGTGGAAAAATTGGAAGCAGTTCCAGGCTCCTGTGCTTGCATGTTCACTCGGATGTCCGCATGCAATTCACCTGAGTCCCCCCAGTTTGTAGCATTTTCAGAGCATGTTTCATCTGGCCTATTTTAGGTGGTCATCTTAAAATGAGCTGCACTGAGCCCCAGAAACCCATCTCTTGTCTACTTTTGGGCAGCTTGATTCTGATCGTAAAAGGCTAATTCTTATCACTTTTGTTCTTGCAGGTGCTGCCGAGAGCTTAGAAAACACTGTTCCCCAATTCAGTTTCAGATTTGCAGTATTTGGAATTTGGTCTGTAGTACAAGGACTCACCATAGTTACATCACTGTCAAATTTGTCACTGAAGAGCTTTATCCCACAAAACCAGTTTAAGTAAGTCAGCAGTGCTAATATTGTGGATTTGCTATTAGTTCTAACAGTGACTTAAAGAAGTAATTTAAGGCCTTTAAGAGAGTTATTCTAGCTTATGTGAATGGACATTTTTTCAGACTTTTGAAAGGGTTATTCTAGTTTATGTAAATGGATCTCTGCATTTTAGGGAGTTTAATCCATTACTCACAAGTAACTTTAAAAGATAGTGATTCTGTCGATCAGGTGTGTTGTTGAAAACAGCTAAAGAAGAAGACTCTCTAGATTTGGATTACATAATTCCTCAGATGCTAACACTACCATTAGGCTGTTTGGTCTGAATCAGACTCACTATCCAGAGTCGGTTATTGCCACTGTTCATTTGAAAATCCAATGTAAAAACTTAGCAATAAACATTTTGTCCTTGAACGTGGATGATGAGAGACCTGCGAGATGGAGACGCTCTCACCCCAGCCCCGGGAGGAATTACGGAGCTCGGCACCAAGACAAGTCGTCATGAGCACCTAGCGCTCGTGTTATCGTTTCTCGCAGCAATATTTGGCCACTGGGAAAATGAGATGCAGCCTCTTCCAGTCACTCAACTAAGTGGCTCCATAACAACCACATATACAACTGGTAAACATACTCATTATTTAGGTTAATAAAGTAAGTACGATTCTACCAAAAGTCAAAATTAACTCAGTTTTCTTAAAACAGATGTCAGCAACACAAAGTGAAATTTTTCACAACTTGGGAGAATTTACTGGTAAAGAAAGCAAAAACGAAGAAGAGAAATTAGACTCTAGCCATTCCTTGGGGCACACTTCAAAACGTGCTCCTGCTAGTCATGATTTCATGGAATTACTCCTCAATTTTGCAGTACAAATTAGATCACAGCCAGAAAATGTACAGATTTTGACCCAGCTTATCAACTGAAGTTCAATCAGCTGGTGACGTTTAATGCTCTAAGCACAAAATAACTGCCTTTGGCCACTTCTACATTTTGTTACCACAGGCCAGGAGTTCGTGCACTGTTCGTGTCTGCCTCTGACAACAGGGCTCCTCTGGGCGCACCACAGAAACACTAAAATGTGAAGTGATATCATCAATACATATTTATGTTCATACACACACACGTAATATATATGCATGTGATCAGGTACCTTTTTAGCAACAGATATTTGGTAAATATTTAAATAAATTTAAATAATACATGATGGAAATCCCTTACTTATATAAGCACATCTGCCTTAGGGAAAACTGGTAGGAAAACTCTAAGAAATACTTTGATTTAATTAGATTCTGCACATTTCAGTGGTATTTCTAGCTAAGCTGGATCAATTCTGCTGACAGCAATCAGCAGAACCGACAAAGGGCCATTTATCCCTGTCCCAAGCCACATCCCATCTCTCCTTCTAAGCACATAACTGAACAGTTTGACTAATATTGTCACGCTTGAACCTGATGTCAAATTATTTCTAAAAATATTGAAATAAAAATAATTTCATATATTAAAAGCATAGTGTTATGGTAGAGTGTGCCCTTGCTGACAATTACCAGTACTATGGCATGGAGCGAGACAAGATGTGGCTGCCCACTAACCTCCTGCACCTCAGCATTTCAGCATAATTTTTAATTTAATTCCATGTAGCAACATGCATAAGACACAAACACACATACAAGGACTCAGTCGATGCAGCACCTGAAAGCTAAGTCATGAACTCAGACTTTAGGGCAGCTTGGACCAAAAGCAGCTTGAACCAAAACTAGCAGGTTACTGGCAAGAGCTATGAAAGAAAGCACAAAAAAGCATGAACTGCACTAATGCAAAGATATCTGCCTTAAACCAGCACCTGAGGAGGATCTGTAGCTCTGTTCCTTTTCAAAATCTTCGTTTTCTTTCTTCTCCATGTCTGCTTAATACCAGGCTGCCAAGCACTAACAGACAGGGAGCTTCACATGGGGGTTTCAGTCATCAGACCACACGGAGCAGGTAGTCCAGTTCAAAGAGAAAGAGTCATCAGCTCTGGGAGAAGGGTACGAGCTTAACAGGGTGAGAGAGGGAAGCTCATGGGCTGGGAAACAAAACTGATGTTAAATTTTACTACTCCAGCCAGGCAAGGCGAACACAGGTTTTTATTTAGTCTCTCACAGCACTTGAGCATTTCGAGCCTGGAATAGTGCTTTCTGTACCAGAATACACTCCGTTTAACATGAATAAAATATGTTCAGTCTGAAGAGAAAAAATTGAATTTTGAAGACTGAAATTGAGTATTTTAAGAACATCAGAAAAGAGAAAAAAAGTGCACATTGTTTTATCTGAATTTTATTCTGCACTATATCTAAATTGTAAGAGAAGATGAATGGCTTTACACTTAAAAGAAAAGCGCATTTCCCTGC